ACCTGGCAGGTGCACGGGCTGCAGCCCCCCAGGGCCCCCCCATCTACGTGGACCTGGCCTACCTGCCCGGCTCCTGGAGCGCCCGGACCGTGGACGAGGAGTTTTTCCGGCGCGTCCGTTCCCTCTGTTACGTGATCAGCGGCGACGACCACCTGAAGGAGGGGGTCCTGAGGGCCCTGCTGGACGCCCTGCTCGCTGGCAAACATCAGTGGGGCACTGACACCCAGGTGAGACTCACCCCCCCAGTCATTGAATCCCAGAATTGCAGATTGGGTTGGGTTGGAAGGACCTTAAAGATCATCAGGATCCAACCCCCTTCATGGGCAGGGACACCTCCCACCAGCCCAGGCTGCTCCAAGCCCCATCCAACCTGCCCTTCAACACTGCCAGGGATGGGGCAGCCACAGCTTCCCTGGGCAACCTGGGCCAGGCTCTCCCCACCCTCACAGCAAAGAATTTCCTCCTCATGTCCAACCTCAATCTCCCTCCCCCAGTTTTCATCCATCCCCCTTGTCCTCTCCCTCCCTGCCCTTGTCCCAAGTCCCTCCCCAGCTTTCCTGGAGCCCCTTCAGGCACTGGAAGCTGCTCTAAGGTCTCCCTGGAGCCTTCTCTTCTCCAGGCTGAACACCCCAACTCTCCCAGCCTGTCCCCATAGTGCTCCTTGAATCCCCTGCAAGGGGCTCCCTGGGTCAGCGCCCCCCACTCTCTGGGTGCTGGTGGGGGGGTGACAGTGTGGGTGGTGTCCCCACAGGTGACCTTGATCCCCACCTTTGACTCGCTGGTGATGCACGAGTGGTACCAGGAGACCCACGAGCGGCAGCAGGAGTTGGGCATCACAGTGCTGGGCAGCAACAGCACCGTGGCCATGCAGGATGAGACCTTCCCTGCCTGCAAGGTGGAGTTCTGAGGAAGAGGGGGGTTGGAGTGGAGGAGGGGGCTTCATCCCCACCATCCTCCTCCTCTCTGAGCACCCCCCTCTCCTTCCTTCCTCACCCAGGGCTGTGCCAGCCCTTGGCTGGTGTGGCTGGGAGGGGAGGAAGATGGGGAGGGGTTTGCTGGGGGGAGGTGGGGTTGTGTGTGTGTGTGTC